CATTGTGGGTTTACCTATAATGCGAAGAGATGGCGCTGCCTTGCAGCTTAAGAATAGCTAGAAAGAATTTCGACGCGGTCCGTGAGGGCCGCGGTAGCATAATTGGTCAGTGCATTCGCCCGGATTGCGAAGGGTGCGGGTTCGAGTCCCGTCTGCTGCCTGGTCCGCGTGGATTTTTTTCTAGTTATATTTTCTTTAGATTTAAACATCAAGCAGTTACATGCTTTAAAAATAATAAAAATTATAACTATAATTGCTATTTCTTCTTTCAAATGTTTAATACTTGTAAAAGTATTCATTTGACATTGTGGGTTTACCTATAATGCGAAGAGATGGCGCTGCCTTGCAGCTTAAGAATAGCTAGAAAGAATTTCGACGCGGTCCGTGAGGGCCGCGGTAGCATAATTGGTCAGTGCATTCGCCCGGATTGCGAAGGGTGCGGGTTCGAGTCCCGTCTGCTGCCTGGTCCGCGTGGATTTTTTTTTCTAGTTATATTTTCTTTAGATTTAAACATCAAGCAGTTACATGCTTTAAAAATAATAAAAATTATAACTATAATTGCTATTTCTTCTTTCAAATGTTTAATACTTGTAAAAGTATTCATTTGACATTGTGGGTTTACCTATAATGCGAAGAGATGGCGCTGCCTTGCAGCTTAAGAATAGCTAGAAAGAATTTCGACGCGGTCCGTGAGGGCCGCGGTAGCATAATTGGTCAGTGCATTCGCCCGGATTGCGAAGGGTGCGGGTTCGAGTCCCGTCTGCTGCCTGGTCCGCGTGGATTTTTTTCTAGTTATATTTTCTTTAGATTTAAACATCAAGCAGTTACATGCTTTAAAAATAATAAAAATTATAACTATAATTGCTATTTCTTCTTTCAAATGTTTAATACTTGTAAAAGTATTCATTTGACATTGTGGGTTTACCTATAATGCGAAGAGATGGCGCTGCCTTGCAGCTTAAGAATAGCTAGAAAGAATTTCGACGCGGTCCGTGAGGGCCGCGGTAGCATAATTGGTCAGTGCATTCGCCCGGATTGCGAAGGGTGCGGGTTCGAGTCCCGTCTGCTGCCTGGTCCGCGTGGATTTTTTTCTAGTTATATTTTCTTTAGATTTAAACATCAAGCAGTTACATGCTTTAAAAATAATAAAAATTATAACTATAATTGCTATTTCTTCTTTCAAATGTTTAATACTTGTAAAAGTATTCATTTGACATTGTGGGTTTACCTATAATGCGAAGAGATGGCGCTGCCTTGCAGCTTAAGAATAGCTAGAAAGAATTTCGACGCGGTCCGTGAGGGCCGCGGTAGCATAATTGGTCAGTGCATTCGCCCGGATTGCGAAGGGTGCGGGTTCGAGTCCCGTCTGCTGCCTGGTCCGCGTGGATTTTTTTCTAGTTATATTTTCTTTAGATTTAAACATCAAGCAGTTACATGCTTTAAAAATAATAAAAATTATAACTATAATTGCTATTTCTTCTTTCAAATGTTTAATACTTGTAAAAGTATTCATTTGACATTGTGGGTTTACCTATAATGCGAAGAGATGGCGCTGCCTTGCAGCTTAAGAATAGCTAGAAAGAATTTCGACGCGGTCCGTGAGGGCCGCGGTAGCATAATTGGTCAGTGCATTCGCCCGGATTGCGAAGGGTGCGGGTTCGAGTCCCGTCTGCTGCCTGGTCCGCGTGGATTTTTTTCTAGTTATATTTTCTTTAGATTTAAACATCAAGCAGTTACATGCTTTAAAAATAATAAAAATTATAACTATAATTGCTATTTCTTCTTTCAAATGTTTAATACTTGTAAAAGTATTCATTTGACATTGTGGGTTTACCTATAATGCGAAGAGATGGCGCTGCCTTGCAGCTTAAGAATAGCTAGAAAGAATTTCGACGCGGTCCGTGAGGGCCGCGGTAGCATAATTGGTCAGTGCATTCGCCCGGATTGCGAAGGGTGCGGGTTCGAGTCCCGTCTGCTGCCTGGTCCGCGTGGATTTTTTTCTAGTTATATTTTCTTTAGATTTAAAATACTATTTTAGGAAAATCGTCAATCTGTCATAAGACCTTCATAATATACGAGTGGGCATTGTCGCAAATTTTATTTTGTGATTTTTCATACAAATAAATCGATCGACTAGGGTTGTCACTTTTTATTGTTAATCAGTACCTTGGGTTCGCAGGTATGTACCTGCGTACTAAGAAGTTTGATTTAAAACGTGATTGCTCAAATTTTTATATTAGTTTCAGCAATCACGTTTTAAAGCAAATGCTTATTAGTTATAATGCAAACAATATATATAAGATTAATTAATTAATTTATTTATTCTTTATTACCAAAAACAGTAAATGGCGGACTTAATGCCGTAGGCATTCTCTACCAGTCAACCAGTGTATTAATATAAAACTTAAATAAATATAATAGGAATATTCACTATAAAGACTCATACAAGTGATATAAAACTATATTCAAGATAAAGCTTTCAAAAATTAACGATATATCTAACACTTTAGATCAATAGCAACTCTTATCATGTCTTAGTACCTATGTAATAGTTTTTTTTCTATTATGATCACAAAGCCTAATTTGCAGAACGTCTATAAAGCAAATCGCCTAAAATCAATATCTAAAATACAGAATGTCTACGAAGCAAAACGTCAAAAAACATTATATCATCTAGAAAACAGAAAGCCTATAAAACAAAATTCCTAAAATCCTTTAGATTAGACGAAGGCCTTGGCGTTTGCTATACTGATCAATAAGCCATAAATAATTTTGTAAAGCATAATTTCAATATTTTATTTCTACTTTTTATTTAAGCCTCGTTTAGTCATTTTGCGTTTAAGGTGGCTAGCATTAGCAAGTGGTTGGTGGTTGCAAATTTTTTGCAAAAGTGCAACAAAATTTGCGTTTTTATCAATGGCGTAAAATAAGTATAATATGATTTAATAATTATTGCAATTCATTTTATACAAAGAGTTTACAAAGCATTACTTACGTAGTTCCAAAGTTACTGTAAAACAAACTACCTAAGTAGGTACTTTGTTTTACATCTAATCTTCTTAGATCTAATTTAAGATTACAACCCTTACGGTGATATTATGGTGAGCAAAGTCGTAACAACTACGATAGAAAAACCAATTTGAGATTACCCACCATCATATTTTCGAATTTAAGAGAGACTTCGCGTTGGATGTACGATCATATATGATTATTTATTACAAACTAACAGTAGTTAAAAACTTATTTATTTGCTGTGATATAAAATAAAATTTTACGAAAAGTTTTTCACAGCCGACTGAAGTGCAATAAAGAGAACGTAATATTGCCAGAGACATGTTGAAATTTCTTACATAGATTAAATAATAGACGCAACTAAAAAATGTTGCCGGTGTTTTTTATATTTGTAAAATACTTTTTACAAACAGGGAGTACCCTGCTAGGCAAAGTTAGGTTAGATCAGGTGACGAGCCCGAGCCTTACCAATATCGACGGTGAATATTTAATAAAAACAGAAACTTTACTGTATTCGCTCACAAAAATCGCGAAAGTACATTGACCGTAAAAGATAACATACAAATAAATTTTATAGCTCCGATCAACGACGTAATTCATATAAGTATGGGACAGTCTGACATGAGTCACGATTTCAGTGACGACACCGACCTACTAGAGAAGGATATAGAGAAGAAGCTAAAGTCACTAAAAGAGGTCGAATTGCCATCGGATTCCGACATCCTGTCATCCACATCCTCATGACATACACCAGTATACATTGTTGTATGGCATCATCGTAGTAGCAAGGTCGTTGGGAGTTAGTACAGTCAATCTGTAGGTTGAGTGGTGAAAAAAAAACCTAAAGGGTAAGTCTTGTTTTTTCTGTTGCCAAATGACGTCAGTAAGCCACCTTGGCGATGGGCATGTTCAACTCGTAGGCGTTTTTTGAAAAACTCAAAAAAACCCTCAAAAAATTTTTGAAACGCATTTTTCTTGTTTTGTATGCATTTTAAAAACTTTTTTTTCGACCCAATTGTAGAGGGCGTTGAGTACTACAATTTATGTCATTGTTGCAATCTCATACAACAAAAAATGCGCATTGTAGGTGGCGCTAAAGTCTCAAAAAGTGTTTTTTCACTTTTTCACCCTGAAAATATAATTTTAATGGAAAACTTTAAATGGAAAAGTTGTTCCGTACATAATTGTCAACAACTTTTGTACATTTTTTTTTTAATTACTTACAGTTTTCAAGTTACAGTGCAATACAGCGCTACGTATACAACACAGTGCTACTAACGGTAATTTTTTCGGTCCTATGGTGACTTTATTCTTGGAGTTAAAGTTTATTATTAAACTTTGAAGCGATTATCATATATTAATTCAAGTTGCACATCTGAATTTTTTTTTTCAAGCAACATTTGGAAGAAATAATCTAAATTGTTATTAACTAGTAACAGTAACAATTTAGAATTTTTATCTCATATGTTCGACAAAATAATCATTTTTATATCAACTACTTTTGTTCCTTCAATTAATTCATGCAAGAAAATGAATCCAAAGCTCTAATTATCGATATTTCATGTCAATAACAAATGAAAATTATTACAATCATGAAAAAAAATAAAAAATAGTAAAATGTACATTGAAATGTGCACTGCAAATGTGTACTTGAACTGCCCAAAACCGCTCTATTGGATTTTTCATACCTGCGCAATTTATAACTTGAAAACGGTAAGTAATACAAGTACCTACATCAAAATACATGAATTCAAAGAATGTGCAAATACTTAAGTTTTTCGTGATCTTGCATTGCGCAGTCGGGTAATAATAGAGCAAAATGATTTGACATCAGCCACATCACTTGCCGCTGGCGCTATCTACACAGAGCTGTGTATTGAAGATCCCCATTATAACGGGTTACTTATTTAATTTTTATCAGTTCTAGCAATTAGAAAATGAAAGATATTTATTATATATATATATAAAAAAACTTTATTTATTCAAAGGTTTTTTCTAATAATATAGGTATAAGAAATTACAAAGGTATATTTATATTTATAGTTAGACATGTACCTTTTCTACTAAGCTCTGACCGTCGCGTCGTGGAGTACAGATATGCCCAATCAAATGAGTGTTTGAGTTGCTGCCATGTATTTTTTATGGAAAAATAAAAGACTTCAACATCGACGAAGAAAAAGACTTCAAGTTCATCTACTTAAACAGTGTGATTATGATGTCGTTCCAGGCCTTCATTCAATCGTGCGTCTTTATTTTTATATAATATGTCACTGGCGCGTCCCATAAACATTTTCGCAGCCAAACTCCCACACGCCCAATATCAATATCGCGATTCATTGTTGCGCCCCCGCCCCGTCTGTCTCAGTCGGCGACGTTCGGCACGATGCTAAAACGAGTTCCCGCAGACAGTCAGCGTGACTCTTAAAATCAGCCTATGGACTTATTATTCACTTTAATTCGAGTACACCTTTACGTATCTAAGATTTACGATACAGAAAAATAATCGGCAACTGCACATTTTTACAAAACTTTAAATGTTGTCTTCTCGTAAAAATGTTCTTTGGAACGAGTCAAGCGGCGGAGAAAAAAAAACCCATTGAAACTTCCTTGACATGTGTTTCTTAGTTTCCTAGAGAGCAACAGGATAAGATGGCAAAACAATATTACCTATCATATTATACAATACATTAAAAGTTGCATGCAATCTTAAGACTCAGTTAAAACGTAGGTAGCAATTTGTAATGAATTATTATAATTTGATACTTCATGGGCTTCGATAAACAGCAAAGAAGACTGAAGTATTGTTGGCAAGGATCACTGCCAAAAATGGATGGTCAGCTCGAAAAACAGGCGTCCGCCGAACCGAACAAGGTCTCTCCATGGGCATAACTGGTAACAATTTAGAAAAATCATTTATATATGTATAACTACAATTAAGCTATCAATGAACTACAACGCATCATGCTACATTTTAAAGGTAATTTTGCAATTATTATATTTATTTTCCTTTATTTAAAAACGTCGTTAATTTAATTAACAAATAAAATCAGGTGTCCGACGAACCGAACAAGGTATCTCCATAGACATAACTGGAAACAATTTGGAAAAATCACTTATCTATGCATAACTACTATTAAGCCATCAATTAACTACAACGCATCATGCTACATTTTAAAGGTAACTTTACAATTATTTTATATTTTTTTGCTTTATTTAAAAACTTCGTCAATTTAATTAAACAAAAATTTTAAAGATATATAAAAAAGCTATATCGTGGAAATGTAATAAACTATTTTAATATATTTGAACTTCCTCTTATACTTCAAACATTCACCGTTATCTGCAAGTGGGAAAACCTAACTTATGAAATAAATATTTAGTTTTTTGTCCCTCCTGCAAACTTTGCAAAAAGTTTGCAAATTAGGCCGACGGCCGAGACGTAATGCAGTCGCACAAAACTTTGTTTCTGAAATATTTTTCTCTATCCACTCCGTCTACTGCGCTGCGCAGTAAACAAAGTTTTGTATAGATTTGATTGATTTTGTTAAATGTTGATATGTTTTACCCTACACAATCTTTATATGGCTTTATGCATTTCAGAACCAATGGTCCAGTCAATGAACGGAAAAACGGGAAATAATCTGGAAAAGATTGGATTTGGGTTCTGCTTGCGCTACTTTAAAGATAATGTGCCGAGGGTTGCTATTTGCCTGGGGTTGGACGCCACTCCTTCAAATTTTTACTAAGATTAAGTATGGGAATGGATAGATTGCCTTATTGTAAGCGACTTTTGTACTTTGTACTTTAAGTCGAAAAGTTTTTACTGAAAGCCAGTACTTTTCGACTTATTCGATGGGTGGAAAAGTCAAATTTCCAACAGAAAAACACGCTTTCAGTCGATTTTTTACGAATAACACTGAAAAATAGTTATTTATGATATAAGTGCGGAAGTTGGTTATTACAAACGAGTAGACGAATGTAAGCCTGAGACGAAATCGAGGGTTTACCATAGTCACCAATTCCGTACTCGTGTCATACAACGTTTTTCAACACATTTGCGAGAAAACAGTACCTATACCTAATTTAAGTAAAGAAGCACACTTTCTCTGATAAACAAATAGCGCGCATTTCCTAATGGTGTCACGTGCGGGTGGTGAAAATTAGAACTACATATTTCGTCTTTTTTTCTTGAAGTGACAACTGCTTACGGGAGGGTAAACCGCTTCGTTACGTAACGTGATACGGTGCCAGTCTATCTGCCAGCCCGCCCAGGTACCTGAGGGGTGTCCCCACAGACCCACCCCACTCCCTCACCCATCAATCCCCACATCACCTACCAATCACCTAATTATCACCCATCAATCCCGACTTATCCCTTATTATCAACCACCAATCCCTTATTATCACCACCAATCCCCTTATCACCCTCGAATCCCTTTACACCCTCCAATCCCCTTATCACCTTCCAATCTACTGTGCTCATTTAGTTTCACAACTTTCTGATGTAGATACTCCTCCTGTCTCACTCTTATCTTCAGCGCCCCTTAGATTAGTTTAGGTTATCACGATTTTTTTGTATTAGTGCTTCCAAGGAGATTAGACCTATATATAAAAAAAACCGTAAAGAATACGCACAGCGACATGTATGTGCGTGCGGTAAAATGTTTTACCGCAAGCTCCGTTGGATGCTTCCATCAACAATTCTAGTTGTTTGGCTCGTAATTTTAAACTTTCAAACAATGTATACAACCTCCGTAAATGCATCTTTTGAGCAAGTGCATTGAAAAAAGTATTTTATGAATATAACTTTGTGAAATACATACTTTAAAAAACTTAATTTATGTTTTTTCTTGGAATTCCTAGTGTCAAAATTAAGAGAGATTCGGTTCCTATTATTTTTGACGACAAAAATGCATTGTTTTTGGATACGACCTCCGTGGCCGAGTGGTTTGTATGCCGGGTTTCATGGTGTCGCCGACTCAAGAGGTCCCGGGTTCAAATCCCGGTGGGGGCAGATGTTTGTGTGATGAATACTAGCATTTGTACTCTAGTCGTGGATGTTTTTAATATGCATTTCTATAAAAATATACTTATATGTAGTACAGTATATGTATTCTATCCGTTACCCTAGTATCCCATAACACAGGCCTTATAGTGCTTACTTTGGTGCTAGGCTAATTGTTTCACAAAATTGAAAATATTTATTTATTTATTTTATTTGTATTTTACATTGAAACTATCGATTTTAGCGTTTGACGAAGAATAACCTACATTTATTTAGCTCTTACTCCGTTAGTATTCAATACAGTGGTTTATTAAACGCAATGTATTGTTTGTTTTTATACTCCACAGAATTTATTTCATAAAATACTTATTTACATAGTTACTCATGACAAACTGCCTGAAAATGTGCATTTTCTTGTTGAAAAATTGACGTTTCCACTCTCGAATAAGTCAAAAAGAATTGCTGTAAACCTTTATAAAACAAAAGTTGCTTAGTATTCTAAGAATTAGATAGAATAAAAGTGGCTTAATATTATTAGTTATAAGCAACTTTTGTTCTATAGATTATTTACAGCAATTCTTCAGTTTATCCTTATTATTTTATTTCTTACCTTATTTTATTTCCAGCTCATTGAGTTGTCTGGAAGAAATCGCTCATTAGCGATAAGACCGCCCATTGTGCAATGTTGTATTTTTCTACTTGTTTTATATCTGCTTGTTTTGTTACTATGTTGTGCAATAATAGTTATTTATTATACAAGAGTGGAAAGTTCCTTTTTAACCGCGTGCTCGATTTGGATGACCGAGCAAGCGAAGGATTCTAAAGTTGAATCACGAGCGCAGCGAGTGATTCTAAATTAGAATCCTGAGCGTCAGCGAGGGAAACAAACGAGCACAAGGTGAAAAATCTTTCCACTCGAGTGCAATACGTAACTTTTCATCCCACCTCAGCGAGGAAATGACAAAATGAAAAAGAAAACAATTTATAATGACAAAATATTTTTATTTCAATTAAAACACATTAAGATAATCTATAAATTGAAGAAAATAATAAGAAGTAGAAAATAATTAAGAAATATTAAATGTAACGTTGCTACAGTTACTTATGTTAAGTTTAATATTTTTGTTAGGTAATGTTATGTTGGTGTTTGTGAATTGTGCGCTGTTTTGTGGTAAACTACTCGTATCAGTAATTTTAAATAGTTGTGCCGATTCATTGGATTCTATTGGCGTAAATGTTGGCGAGAGAGGGCTATTGTTTCCAATCTTATGGGGGCTCATTTTAGATGTAGAAGGGCGAGACCAAGAATCTGACAGAGGTTCTTTCAGCGTTATGGCCTCCACGATACTATTACAAATTTTTGATTTACTTTGGATTGAATCCTCTATGTATCCCTCTACAACCGAATTAGACTTCCAGCCTCCATGGCGCTTAAGCGATAGAAGATCAGCCCCTGATTCGGCCAAAAGTGTGGCTGAGGTTCTTCTAAAACAGTGACCGGTGTATAACGGGGGTTCTAAAAGTCCGAGAAAAGTTGCTATTTCTCGTGGAATACTGCCAATTTTATTCTGACCCATAGGTTGTCGGATACACTTTCCGTTGCGATATTGTAGAAAAAATCGTTCAATTGGGGTGTTAGAAGGACGTAAAGCTTGATATTTCTGAACAATGTTTACATATTCCTTGCGAATAACGAAGTTGCGGTCTTTTTTTGTCTTGGTATTTAGTACATTAATTAATAGCAATTCATCAGAATTATGAGAATATTTTGATACGTTATTGACATTAAGTAGTGTAAGTTCATTTGTTCGACATGCTCCGGTTATACCAATAATAAGAACAACCTGTAACAAAAGAAGTATTTATAATCGTAAATAAATTAATCAAATTAAAAATATTGTAAGTACTATGTACAATTTTATCAACAACAAAAAATTACACGTATTGACTTACTTTTGCCGCTAAATATACGGAATCAGGTGCTTCATTAATAAACTTTGCAATTTCAGATGCTGTGAAAACCTTCGATTTTTTTGGTTTATAACCAGATGAGGCTCTTTTTAAAAATGCCACTAATTTATGATAGGTGTCGATATGAACGTCTTTCTTCATCTTAATTGTTAATTTTAGCATTGAATACGTACTCCATAGCGTGCTTGCTTTCTTGGTCTCAGATAATTCTATAAAATATGCCAGCAAAACGTTTTCGGAGAAAGTTTTTGCTCCTTTAGCTAGTCGCCACATGTTAAATATATCGTACTGTTTCAAATACTTCTCTCGTGATTGCTGAGGGAGAAGGCTCATTTGCGCATTATTAACTGTTTCAGTTAACTCAGTTGGCGTTAGATAAACTTCATCGTCGCTAATGTCACTCATTTTAGTTGATTTTTTTGTACAGTTTTTAGGTTATGTTAATTATATTAAGCAATAAAACGTGAAAAACTAGACTGGCGCGAAGCACGCAAATAAAACAAAGAAACCAAGAAGGTTCCAAATTTAATTTTTTTCACAATTTAAAAAGTTCTAATCATAAATTTGGCACCATAGAGGTTACATTAAATAGGTTTAATGACGTTTTGAATTTACAATTATATTGAGTACTCATTATATGTGATGTTCTAAATTCAAATCTACTTTGCCGCTCAAGCGAATAAAATAGAATTTTCCAGCCAGATTTCGAAGCGCAAAATTACACTTTCCGAGGTGGTGGGATGAAAAGAGTTTTTATCTTATCTATCCATTCCCATTTTTCTTCCACCCTCAGGGTAAAAGCCACCCTCGGCACATTGACACTTTGAAGTAGAGGGTAAGTAAAACCTACAGCCAAATTTTGGTCCTAATCGGTGTTGTTTGGTGGAATTGCTTGGGATAACCGTGCATTGACTGGACAACAATATAAGTAAGTATATATAATAATAAGAAACCCACCACAACTAAAAGAGAATTATCCCAAATCCTGTAAGAATTAAAATATAAAGTTCGGAGTGGTTAAAAATCAAAATCAAAATACTTAAATGTTGATGAAGAATTAGATCTCCTCCACCAACAGGATAAAAAGACGTATTAAAATTTTAATCAGTATCCATTATGTAATTTAGTGAAAGCCTACCCTACACCATTATTTTCAATATAGGTACAGATTTTTTGTTTGGTTTTTTCTAATGTCCTTGCATTACTTCCTTCCATTTTTTTAATGGGCATCCCCTAAAAGCGTCTGGCGAGGAGTAGGATGAAAAATACTTAATGCAAACTCCACCGCCAATAGGGAAGATGCAATATTTTTATTTTTGTTTTCATTTTAAAGAATTCCATGTAGAATAAACCACAGATATATTAAAAAATTAAAACATTGTAATTTATCGGAAAAAATGCGGTTTTAAATTGTCAGTTTAAATTTTCACGCGAAAACGGACCTATGGTTCCGATGACGTCACTCCTGTCTGTCACTGGTCGTACTTGTTCGTCGCTGGCTTTCAATTTTCATACTTTTGCATATTTTTTCGACTTTCGAGATATTTTTTTGTAAAAATTTAAAATGGACTATCCATCAACATCAGGTGATCATAACAATACCACTAATATTCCGATAAAAGCCGTGTTGACTCATGTTTTGTGCCAATGGGTCCATCTACTTCAACAAAATTTCCAAATAAATTGTTTTTGACTTTTGATTGAATTAATTTAACTGACCCAAAACTGAGAAAAAAGTGGTTTCAAGCTGCGAAAAGAAATGACAATTATTCTCCAAAGACCATTATTCGATGCTGTGAAGATCACTTTGACGTAAGTCGGCGAATATACTTGTTATATGCTTAATTAATCTTCTTGTACGTAAAAACGCGTTAGTACCTAACCTACATAATACTTACAAAACCTGCCTTTAACATATTTTTAATTTACAGTTGGAGAATGACGTCGAAAATAGGATAAAGTTTAAAATGTGTGGCACACTCTACACATTGGCAGGACTGAACCAAGCTTTGCGTTTCATTTAAAATAACTGTAACACGATAACCTTCTTTACGTTGTTTATGCTCCGGAGTAACTCGACTTTTTACTGTACATATTCTCCATCTCTTTTAATTTGGACATAGCCGATTGCGTTATCGTCGTAAGAATCTCTTGTTGAGCTGAAATCACTGTTGCAATAACTGCTGCATGTGTAGAAGCCACTGAATAAAATACAAAGTTTAACAACTATGATTTATACATACCGTAGTAAATTAGTTCCCTTTCATTTCTACACTTGAAAACTCTGCACTTTGGAAAAAAAAGTTACAACCATGTCAACACTAACTCTTGGAGTTTGCTTTAATATATCCAACTTCGATTTTTATCAAAAACGCAATAGGGAAGATGCAGATATAATATTTATAAATAAAATATGATTAAAATGTTAAAAAAAAATAAAAGAAAGGCTACTGCAATGTTTTTATTTTACATAATATTGTATTTTAACAATAAATACGAAGTAAAAATGACTTGAAAAAAACGTATTTCAAAACACCAATCAGCGTTTAGTGACGTCACTCCTGTTATGACAACTTATTTGAGGTTATGGTTGTAAAAGTGAATATTATTTTATGGGAATATTAATTGCGTTTTTTAATAAAAATAGAAGTTGCGTTTATCAAAGCAGACTCCAGGAATTTACCAAGAGTTAGTGTTGACATGGTTGTAACTTTTTTTGTCCAAAGTGCAGAGTTTTCAAGTGTAGAAATGAAAGGGACTAAATTGCTACGGTATGTATAAATCATAGTTGTTAAACTTTGTATTTTATTCAGCGGCTTCTACACATAGCAGTTATTTTAGCTCAACAAGAGAATCTTACGGCGTACACGCAATCGGCTATGTCCAAATTAAAAGAGATGGAGAATTATGTACAGTAAAAAAAAAGTCGAGTTACTGCCGAGCATAAAGTACGTAAAGAAGGTTATCGTGTTACAGTTATTTTAAATGAAACGCAAAGCTTAGTTCAGTCCTGCCAATGTAAAGATTGTGCCACACATTTTAAACTTTATCTAAATACAATTTTACGTACAAGCAGATTAATTAAGCATGTAACAAGTATATTCGCCGACTTACGTCAAAGTGATCTTCACATCATCGAATAATGGTCTTTGGAGAATAATTGTCATTTCTTTTCGCAGCTTGAAACCACTTTTTTCTCAGTTTTGGGTCAGTTAAATTAATTCAATCAAAAGTCAAAAACAATTTATTTGGAAACTTTGTTGAAGTAGATGGACACATTGGCACAAAACATGAGTCAACACGGTTTTTTTCGGAATATTAGTGGTATTGTTATGATCACCTGATGTTGATGGATAGTCCATTTTAAATTTTTACAAAAAAATATCTCGAAAGTCGAAAAAATATGCAAAAGTATGAAAATTTAAAGCCAGCGACGAACAAGTACGACCAGTGACAGACAGGAGTGACGTCATCGGAACCATAGGTCCGCTTTCGCGCGAAAATTTTAACTGTCAATTTAAAACCGCATTTTTTCCGATAAATTACAATATTTTAATTTTTTAATATATCTGTGGTTTATTCTACACGGAATTCTTTAAAATGAAAATAAAAATATTGCATCTTCCTTATTAATATTCCCATAAAATAATATTCTCTTTTACAACCATAACCTCAAATAAGTTGTCATCACAGGAGTGACGTCACTAAACGCTGATTGGTATACGTTTTTTTCAAATAATTTTTAATTCGTAACTAATTATTGTTAAAAAACAACATTATGTAAAATAAAAAAATTGCAGTAGCCTTTCTTTTATATTTTTTTGACATTCTAATCATAAAATTTTCATAAATATTATATTTGCATCTTCCCTATTGCCTCTAGCCATGAAGGTTTTTAAGGTCCCATGTTTAACATCTCCTATTATTACACGCACTATTCAACATGTACCTAACTATATAATATGAAACTTATATCTAAAATGGTAGGTTTAAAATCATGAAGTGAGTTTTTATATTACAGAATCGCTCTGCTGAGTCTGATTAAGTACGTACAAGTAGACGCGGTTGCCTTAGCACCCTCCTCATTGACTTCGATAAAAGCCTTTTGAATGCCCTTTGACACGTATAAAGTTTCTTTTTCGGTATTCAATATTTTAGTCAAGCCAGAGTTATCCTTGTCAAAAATCTGCGAGATGCCAATCTGTAAATGGAATGGACAACATATCATTGAAAGGCTAACGAAATTTTGTCGTAAGCCTTTCAATGACGCATGTTTGGACCTAATGTTTAGCCCCTTTATTAATAAACGAAGACTAAGCTTGGATTAGTTACTCTATGTTTGTCTCTGTTCATTCAATGACAAATAGCATTTGGCCGTATACAGAAAGAAAGCCGAAAGCCGATCGACGCCGATCAGCGCCGATCGGCGCTTATCGGCGCCTATTGACGCTGATCCTTTTTCTATGGACCGGCGCCGATAAGCGCCGATAAACGCCGACACGCGCTGGTCCGAATAATAAATAATTTGTATTTGAATTATTATCCTTAGATTAAATCAATCTAAGTTATAATCTTTTTATAAATCTAATAACTTTATCTTTTATTAACTAAGCGCTAAAATTATTTGTTTCGTACTTACCGAATGGTGACAACAAGTCTTTCTTCTGGAAGGATTGGTTGTTTATGCCAATTGCCCCAATTTTTCATCAAACGGTTTTTCACTAAATCCAAAATGTAATAAAATGTTTCTTGAATCATTCTTGTATATGTATAAAATCTTTGTTCATCAAATTTAATTTTTTTTACAAATAAATGATGGTATTCTCCGAAACGTTTCCTTTCTCTATTTATAGGATGTATAGCTGTTTTTCGCATTTTTAAATAAATATTTTCTAACAAAACCAAATCATCGTCCGATGAGTCCGACATTTTGCTTGATCTGCTTTAATCGGCTTCCTTTATGTAGGAAGGATCGGCGCCGATAAGCGCCGATCGGCTTTCGGCTTTCTTTCTGTATACGGCCTTTGAGTGATATGAACAAAACACGGCGTAACTAGTCTAACTATACTCCTCGTTTATTGATAGGGGGGTAAGAGTCCAAAATGGCGACATTTTAATGAATCATCGTAAATTCTGTTTTAATTAAGAATTCTTAATTTAGACTTTAATGCGTTCATTTAAGTGGCCATTTAAAGCATTTTCATAAAAAACTGTCAGGTTTGATATTTCTAGCTTCATTTAATGTTTCATGAAAGAACTTATCATTTTTAGAATTAAAAAAAATAAACTTAATCTAAAGCAATATATCGGAAAACGCAAAGCCACAAACAAAAAGCAATCGAAATAAACAATATATATTATGCAATCTCGCTCTTTTAGACCCAGAGCGAAGCTGGGTACGGAGCAGGCGTGCAGTTTCTATGTCATTCCGTAGAGACCCGCCTCACGCAGCGCTGGATGCTTACTACGATCGAACAAAATACCCATTCAGTTCTCAAGCAGACCTGAATAGATTCTGCTTTAATTTCATAGATCTATTCTCATGTTTTTCATGGCAATATTGCTTTGAAAATTAGTAATGACATAGCGTGAATGCGTATGTCAGTGATTGCCCCTCACCACGGTCGTCCTATGCCCCACGGGTTGCTGTGCTCGTGCAATGACACGCCACCAATTAGTTACAATATGACAGTACGATTAAACCCATCGTACTGTTACATCCCTTAGATGTTAGCTGTTGAGCTGACAGGCCAGCTGATGCTGCAGCATCAGCATTTTGTCCCCAGCCGACGCGCTCGCCTCTCGAGCGCGCCAGTCTCTCCCGAACCTCCGTGACGGCTGCCAAATTCACCTACACTATAATTTCTATGTTTAATTTCATTAATCCCTTTTTTAAAACGCCAATTCCGAGGCTCGATATAACATTGGTGGCAGCGGTGGGATCCAAAAAGTGGATCCTCGGTACGTCTCCCGAATCAGTGTCAGTGAATTAAAAAGTTTAATCCGCCGCATCCCACAGTATCGCCGCTCGCCTATTCCTACTATATCCGGACGCTGTGCCCATTATATTCGCTACACTGCATTACTCCGACGCCGAACCCGAAACTACGAAGAAACTTAGAAAGGAATCACTGTGTCTAAATTCAAATTCAGTGCATTAAGAAAGTACACCGTACATGTGAACATTCAACTCTGTACTGCTCCGACGCCGATCTTGAAATTACAAAGAAACCCAGAAACAAATCGCCGTATTCAGTTTCATATTCAGTGCTACAAAAGTGCGCCGTTCCTGTGAAAAGTGTGAACATTCGTGTAATAATCGTACGCGACGCCCTTATCGCCCAAGAATGCGATCAACGCTTCCTGTCGCCGTCACCGTGCTCAGTGCTTATACAACATTGTTGCAGTGAGTCTGACTCTTTGTTTGTACTATTACTCTGTGTCTTTGTTCCGTAATTAAGTTCTATTGTGTTCTAAATCATTATTATTCAGTTGTACCTTAGATTACTAACTATTACTTATAATTAGGTTGCTTAAACTACTGTTAATTTTACCAGGTAAGAAATTTCTAAACTCGTGTTAAACAAAATGGATAACAAAGTAGAAGGATTAGATTATGAACTTCCTCTAGACACCGAAGACGAAAGGGGCCTAAGTCCATGCCCAAGCGAAAGGAGAACGCGCTCAAAGGCCCAAAAGGCGCCGCCTCCTCCACAAAGTTTAGACTTAGGTATATTACTCAAGTTTATAAAGCCCTACGATGGCAGTAGGGACACCCTAAACTCATTTATTATAAATTGTAACAATGCATACGATTTGGCTAACAATGCTCAAAAGCCAATACTCTTCAAATATATACTTTGCCAGCTCCAGGGAAAGGCCGAGGTAGCATGCTCCATTAAAGATTTTTATAATTGGGAACAACTAAAGGAGTTTCTCAAGACACAGTTTAGTGAGAGAAAACACTACTCGCATTTATTAACTGAACTACAAGAAAGTAGGCAATCACCTAACGAAAACGTGAACCAATATGCCCTCCGCATCGAAACATACTTGTCCCAGCTTCTAACAGAAATAACCTTGAATAATACTAAACTAAAGGAACTCCCAGGCCGCACAGCAGCCATGGAGGAGTTAGCACTACACCATTTTCTCATGGGGTTACACCCGCGTATTTCAAACATCGTAAGATGTAAAACTCCTAAGACACTCAACGAAGCAACAAACTTTGCTATATCAGAAGAACGCATCCAACAGACCCTTTATAAGAGAGGTAATTTCACGGATAGCAAACCTGTGAATAAAAACCTACGACCTTCTAATGCGAACCCACAATAACGATCCCAACCGTCGACATCGACGTTTGCTAGGCCGACTCATAATTACCAACCTCAACCCTCTACTATTACCTGCAGATACTGCAAGTTCCCAGGCCACAGCATCGAGAACTGCCGCAAGCGGGAATATAATAACAAACTCCGTAGCCAACAACCCTCAAGTTCCCATTCCAACTTCAACCCCGTTAGAAGGGTCAATTTCAATCATGAGCCAGAAAACGAGGGTCATGATGAGGTAGATTTCGAGGCACCGAACGGTAACGATTTAAACTAGTTAGCGCCTCGTTCGGGTGTCGCACGAGTCGCCTCCTAAGTCAAGAAAAAGACACCTCTGTGTCCATGGCCTCTCAAAACACTGAATCCAATACCGAATCTTCTATGCCCATTGTATCCAAATCCATGGCCATTGGAACCACCATATACCCTACCAAATCTACTAAACCCACTGAATCCAACGCATACTCTACCAAACCTACTAAATCCACTGAATCCAATGCACACTCTACCAAATCTACTAAATCCACTGAATCCAATGCATACTCTACCAAACCTACTAAATCCACTGAATCCAATGCATACTCTACCAAACCTACTAAATCCACTGAATCCAATGCATACTCTACCAAACCTACTAAATCCACTGAATCCAATGCACACTCTACCATATCTACTAAAGCCACTGAATCCAATGCGTACCCTACCAAATCTACTAAATCCACTGAATCTAACGCATACCCTACCAAATCTACTAAGCCCACCGAATCCAATGCCAATTATGCCAACTCCACAGAAGCCGTAGATGTTTACGAAATCTCCTTCGATCCCTCGAAAAAATCCTTACCATACGTAATAGTGACCAGTACTGCATCCGAACTTCCATTGACTCTCCTCGTAGACACTGGCTCCTCCATTAGCCTTGTAAAGGATACTAGCCTAAAACCAAACATTAATCTTCAAAAGGAGATCCTCAACTTGAAGGGCCTCACCTCCACTACAACAAAGGACAACTTAATAAAAACCTCTGGATCCTTCAACTTAAAACTATTGCTCAACGACAAAAACGGTAAGCACAACATAACGCATAACTTCCACGTTGTGAGCAATCTCGAATTCCCATACGACGGCATCATTGGCAATGACCTCCTTAACAATGCCCAAGGAAACATCGAGTTTACGTCTAACACCCTAAAAGTTAAGCAATACCAAGTCCCAATTCGTTTCCAAGAGCCGTACTTCGTTATCCCCGCTCGCACCGAAAAAGTAATCGAAACCACTGTCTCAAATCCACAACTCAAGCAAGGGCTCATTCTCGATCAAAGTCCATGTCGAAACCTTCTAATTGCTAATTGTTTGGTAAAGGTCAAAGAAAATAATAAAGTCAATTTGACAGTAGCTAATCTCTCTGAATCCCCTGTAACGCTAAAATCGGATCTCAATCTCACTCTTTCTAGGGCAACAACCCTTAACCACGATAACCTCGCATCTGTCAATCCCTCTGTATCCTACCCAGAGAACAAGAATTCTGCTGAAAGAACACGTCGGGTCTTAGACCTCCTCCGCATCGACCACCTCAACGAGGAAGAAGCTGACGCCCTTCTCCACCTCTGTGCAGATTATTCTGACATTTTCCACCTCCCGGACGAAAGATTGTCTCATACTAACGCCATCAGCCATGACATTAAAACGACCACAGAACAACCTATCCACACCAAATCCTATAGATTTCCCGAAGTCCACAAACAGGAAGTCCAGAAACAAATGAGCAAGATGCTCGAACAAAATATAATAGAACCATCCGTTTCTCCTTGGTCTTCTCCAATCTGGATCGTCCCCAAAAAACTAGACGCTTCTAACGAACAAAAAT